AGGAGGTGCTGGTGTAGTAATACGACAGAAGAGTGGGGTACTTATAGCTTGGAAAACTGAGTGCCTTAGAACACAGTAAGAATTTACTGAATGAATGATTCAATGTGTGGCATAGGAGAAAGAGAACTCTCTCCCCTTGCCCAGCCAGACCCCCAGAAAAAGCCATCTAGACTCATTGCTTTCTCTTTCCTCTTTCAGCCCTTTGCAATCTGGCTCCTAAATTGTCATTCAATTGAAACTGCCCTCTCCAAAGCTATCAATGATCTTTTATTGTCAAATCTCACCTATTTTAACCCTTATCCTTACGCTTAAGGATAATCCGTATCCTGCTTGACTTCTGTAGATATTGCGCCACGCACCATCTTCATAATACTATCTTCTCCCTTGGTTTTTGTGACACTGCTTCCTTGGTGCCACCCCCATCTGACCTCTCCTTTGCTGGTTCATCACCCATGCCATACCAACTAACTGTGGGTTTATATCCCAAGGTTCTGTCTTGGGCTCATTCCTATTTTCTCCCTCTATCCCCTCACTTGATGACCTCATCAGCCTCCATGGGTATAAGTTTTTAGTCCTAGTCTCTCTCCCCAACTCCAATCCCATCTCCAACTGGCTACTAGACATTTCAAACCAATTGTCCTGCGGTATCTCAAATCCATTATGTCTAAGACAGAACTCATTGTTTCTGCAAAATCCACACATTTCTGAACTTTCCTATTTTACTGAAGCCATCACAATCCTTCCAGTAACCCAGGTTTGCAGCCTCAGAATTATCTTCAAATCCTTTATCTTCCCTACCTTACATATCCAAATCAGTTCCCGGATTTTGCTGTTTCCAACTTCACATTTCCATCTGTTTTCTCTCTACCAATGTAGCCACAATCCTTGTTCAGATACTTATCACCTTTTACCAGAACTATTACAATAACTTCCTAATATGGTGTCCCTGCCTAAAGTCACTGTCCACTTCATCCATGATTTTCCTAACACACAGTCTGACTAGACCAGTCCCACACTAAATCAACTCCAATGACTGGCTACTTGTTGCCTCGAGGATCAAATATAAGCTCCTCTGTTTGGCATTTGAGTCTCCTTACAACTAGGCCCCAAACTACCATTCTGGTCATACTCTTTCCCACATTCTATGGCTTGGCCATTGGCTTTCTTACTGCTCATCACACAATACTCTATTTCCCATCTCTGTGCCTTCGCACTTTAGTGTATACAGGGAGTCTCCCCACAGAATGTAAGCCCTTTGAGGGGAGGGACAGTTTTGTTTTTGTCTTTGTGTCTGGCATGTAGCACAGTGCCTGGCACAGTATAGGTACTTAATAAATGCTTGTGGATTGAACTGCACTAAAAATCAAGACCCACTGATTCCAGTCCTAAATCAGCCATTAGTGTTAATATCAAAGCCTTAGGGGGAAGACTTTGTGCCCTTGGGCAACTCATTTTACCTCTATGATGTTAGTTTCCCCACCTATAAAATGAGAGGATTAGATGAGGCACTTCCTGCCTTAGGACTTCATAACTTCTTGTAAAATGGCCTATCACTGGGACAGCTAGATGGTGCAGTGGATAGAGCTCTGGCCTTGGAATCAGGAGGACCCGAGTTCAAATCTGACCTCAGACACTTGAAACTTACTAGCTGTGTGACCCTGGGCAAGTCACTTAACCCCAAAGTGCCTCACCAAAAAGCAAAAGAAGCTACCTCCACTCTAACACCTTCTTGATCCCTACCCTATGCTCCTCTAATCAGAAATAATCAACCCCTGATCTTGAAAGCAAGGACTATCTTGCTTTTCTATTTGTATCTCCAACACTTAGCACAATGCTTTGTACACAGTAAGCATTTAATAAATGCTTCTACATTCACTCATTCCTCTATACTTTGTATTTTTATGCATTTATCATTTTCCAACTTAAATTATACTTGTACACACAACTGAATATCCCTACAAAACTATTAAGTTCTATAAGAAATCAAGGGAATAGGTCTTATATAAACTTTCCTAAAACAAGTACCTTATAATATGCAGATGCTGCAAGAAAAATTGTTAAACAATCATAATATGCATATTAAGAGAGCTTAATATTTCTTGAACCGTATTCGGCACAATTCAATCTCTTTTGCTTACACTACTTCTAAATTGCTTTGTACATTATTTGTTTTTATTGCTTTTATATATACTTTTTATATTTGTAATTTTTTTCAAATTTTCTACAATTCATGTAAACAATCAGTATTAAACTCTTACTACTCTTCCGTCTTCAGCACTTCAAAAGACCTACCGTGTCATTAATTAATTTATTACTTCCAGTCATACAGATCAAAAACCTCTTGATGCCTTCAAGCACTGAAGGCATCGAAAGCAGAAAAAGTTTAAGAAGCCCTGCCTTAGACGATGATCTTCAGGGTTTGCTGTAGTCAAAAAATCCATTCCCTATTTGCCAGCCTTCTGATGATGAGCCTTCTCACGCTGAGTTATGCTGATCCTCAGATGAAGATGCACAAACTGTCACTGGGCAGGTACTTGAAACCTGCTAACTGCGCAGGACCTAACCTGCAGGGTCATTTCTATGCCACAGGAAAGCAAAGGAAAGGTCTTTAGTGAAGCAGTCATTCCCACAGATGAATCAATATGCCAGTTTATTAGGTCATCAACACTTTTTCTGGAGTCAGAGTAGAATTTCTCAATTTCTCATCAAGTCTGTTTATTTCTTACAACTTTGACATAAACTATATCACAAAAATTGTACATGTAATTGAGTTTATTAGATATAAAGTAGTTACAGATTAGATGCTGCTTATGTTTCTGGAAAGTTAATTAACTGCAAAGAAATGTTGAAGCTGTAAGAGATCTTTGGGATCTGAATCAAGTTCAATGACTTCATTCTATGTGATGAAGAAACTAGGACCAAGAGAGGTTGGATTAAGTAACATGTCCAAGGATGCACATTTAGTTACTGACAGTTAGAACCAGAACCTGATTCTCCTGACTCTCAAATCAATGTTTTCACCATGATATCATCTGGCCTCCTAAGAAGCTAAGGAATAGCTTCCTTGGCTGAGCTGAAAAATGAAAGACTTCACGCTAGATTTAACAAAACACTGCAGTTCTTACGATCTATGTAAAAGTCTTTATTAGGCTGAAACTGACATGTGCATAAAATGCTATTATTCAATATTAAGGAAAGTCAAGAGAAGATAGTTTTGTATTGTAGTTATTTATGATGCACCATACTCCCCCTTCCTCCTTCCAACTAGATTGTGAGTTCCGTAAGAACAAACTATGCTTTGTACATCTCTATATCACCCCCAGTGCCCAAGACAGTTCAATGCAATTCAATACAACAAACATTTACTGAGCCCCTACTATACGCAAGTCACTGTGTCTTAGCAAAGTAGACACAAAGATAAGAAATTAAACAAATTCTCAAGGAATCTGCAATCTAATGGGCGGCAGGAGCGGGGAGTGGAGGGAAGAAATAAAAATGTCGAATGAAGCAGGTAAAAAGACAAAACCAGACAAAAAGCTAGGAAAATTTCAAAGAGGAAAAGACCAACAACTTTCAGCTCAGTAGGTCCAGGAAGGCTTCATGAAGGAGGTAACACCTGAAAGAAAAGAATAGGGGCAGCTAGGTGGTGCAGTGGATAGAGCACCACACCTGGAGTCAGGAGGACCTCAGTTTAAAACTGGCTTCAGACACATAACATTCACTAGCTGTGTGACTATGGTCACTTAACTCCATTAAGCATTAAAAAAAAAAAAATAATAACTTCAATATTAAAAGGAGTAAGGAATAGGGAAGTGAAGAGGGGGGGGGGGAAAGAGGGGAGAATGCAGGAAGTCCATTCCAGGCATAAGGGATAATGTGTGCAAAGGTAGAGAGCGGAACAAGGAGACAGAGGGGAACAGAAAGAACAAATACTAAAAAGCATTCAATTAATAAAATTGACACAACTAGGAAAAAGTCAACTGGGAAAAAAATTCTTTATCAAATATCACTAATAAGTGATTTGATACAAGTGATATTATATGAAATATCACTAATAAGGGTCTGATATCTAAAGGAAATAATACATAAAACCAAAAGCCATTCCCCAAAAGATAAGTGGTCAAAAGATATGAATAACTCTCAAAAGAATTACAAACTATTAACAATAAGAAAGAATTCTTCAAATCCTTAGTAAGAACATAGACAAATCAAAACAACTCAGAGGTTTCACTCACCCCAAACAAGTTGGCAGAATGATGAAAGAGAAATAATTAATGCTGGAGAGGGTAGGCCTCAGAATTGGTACAATTCTGGAAAACAATTTGGAATTATGCAAAGAGAGTTACAAAAATGGCCACACCCTTTGATCCAAATATTCTATTGTTAGGCAAATACCCTAAGGAGGTCAATGCCAAAAAAAAGGCCTATTATACACCAAAATATTTGTAGGAGCATTTTTTCTAGCAACAAAGAACTGTTAACAAGGCAGATGACCAGTGACTAAGGACTGGCTAAACAAACTGAGGTCCATGAATATAATGTTGTAAGAAATGATGGATTCAGAGAAGCAAGGAAAGATATACGAAGTGATACAAAATGAAGTAAGCAGAATCTGGAAAACAATATACACAATGATTACAACAAGCGGTTGTTTGTTATGTCTACAAAACAGCAGGAACCAAATGCTGCAAAATTACAATGACCAAGACTTTTCTGCTCTGTCAGTAAGTTTTGCTAAATTTTTCTTTCTTTCTCTTTCTTATTCTTTACTCTAAGTCTAAGGGATGGCTCTCTCGGAGGGGGTTAGGATAATGATACAGTGGGAGGTGTAGATGATGTAAAAACAAAATATATCAATAACAATTTAAAAAATATTCAGTGGACTGAACTGAATTTTGACAGCACTCTGAAACAAATCACTCATGTTTCCTCTATGAGACATATGAAACTGGAAATACAAATGACATCAATTTCTTAGTAAAGAAAGTATAATCCATAGACCCCTTTTACAGATGAGTTTTATTTTCAATATTTCTTTCTGCAAATCTCCATATTTACCTTTTCCCTCCCTGGGATTCTTTACAATCAAAGAATTTTAAAAAACAAACAATAACAAAAGAGTCATCTTAAGTGTAGTGATCCGACCCCCAGAGTTTCCTTTTGGCAATTTCATTTCTTATTTCATTGCTTTTTAAGTTGAGAAGTACAAAAATCACTGGATTACATGCAGTAGTGCCAATTTGCCCTATAAATTACCACCTAAAAAGGCAGTCCCGGGGAGATCAAATACTTAGAATGTGGCCTTAATATCACAACTAAACAATATCCTGGCTCTTACTTAATAAAATGCTTTGACTAAGAGGGTTTTGAGGTGAAGATAGAGCTTTCACAATGTTTTCCCTAAAAATTATTGGTACCAAACACTAAGATCAGATATTCTTTAAATCTTTAAGTGTTTCACTGAACTCATAAAGGTTCCCTTTGTCCCTCTGTCGAGGTGTTAAAATTAGCTTCTCCTATAAAGGAGCACCTGTTCTCTAAAGCAATGTAGTAAATGAGCACACTAACTGTGCCAGTCCAAGGGCTCTGATTGATTAGCACAGTGCAATCATCACTCTCTGGGCCAGCAAAGCTAGACCTTCACTACTCAGAAACTCTAGGGAGAAAAAAACCTCACTGGAGCTTAAAAGCTAACCAGCCACCAAGCAGTGCACAGGTACTAGGAGAACTACAAAAATATCAGTTGTGTTTTGTTTTCAAACCAAAAATAGGGTCCACAAAAAATAAACTTTAAACACAGATCTTCTAAAACAACTCTCCAGAGGTTAGTTTGTTTCCATGCCAGATCTAGACATATTTCTTTATCTGGAGGGAATGAACATTTACCCTAGCACTTTTGATCCCTTTCAAAATACCAAATGCCAAGTGAATTGAGCTGAATTTCAGAGGCTGCATTAAAGTGTCATTTGAAAATTAAAACTGTGGCTAAAGGACCTTTGTGAACTTTGCATACATCTTTTCCCCACCCCACCCCTGGTCCCACAAACTTTTACTCTGCAGGAAGGTCAACAGTTTCTGGTCAAACACATTCTCAAAGTTGTCAGGAACAGAGAATCAACATTTTATAAGGTTGGCTCCTGGTTCTCACTTAAGCCACGACTTTCAAGAGCCAAATAACCTGTGGGAAATGAAGCACAGAAATATGAGTGAGAGAAAGAAAAAACTCCTGGGTGAGTACTTTTGTTAAGGAAACTGACTGACTACATCCCCCGATCCCTGCCTCACCCCCCAGGAGAAGCTGACTCAGAGTATAGTAGGAGACAAGGACCCTATAGTAAGAGCACAGCTGTTCTGAGGTCCAAGAGAGGTCAAGCACAGTAGCCGCTGGGGCCACAAATCCGTTAGCACTCCACCCCTCCAGTGCCAGAAAAAGGCACTGGATCCTAGAAAAATAATGACTCTGCTTGTTTTTCCTACAAGCCCTCTCATAGCCCCTAGGCTTATTGACATAACTGCCTGAAATGAAACCAATTTATTTATATTATTTTTTTCTATAGAAAAACACATTTGAAAATTTAGCCATGTTCCAGCAACACTGAAGAAAGGAGCTACACTGGATTTAAGACATATTTTTCCATATCAGCAGATGCCCAACAAATGCTGAGGACCTTAACTAAGCAACATGAGACAACAAGGCCAGAGGGTTGGAGACAGAGCCAATGCTCAGGTCTGATCATCACTCTACTGCTCTAAAGCCTTGAGTGGGTGGCTCCTCATGATTAGAAAATAAAGGCCCAGGGGCAGCTAGGTATCGCAGTGGATAGACCACTGGCCCTGCAGTCAGGAGGACCTGAGTTCAAATGTGGCCTCAGACACCTGACACTTACTAGCTGTGTGACTCTGGGCAAGTCACTTAACCTCACTGCCTAGCAAAAAAAAAAGCAAAAAACAAAAAGCTCACTTCTCTCATCTTATTCCACACTCCTCACTCTCACTTTTTTTTTTTTTTTTTTTTGGCAATTGGGGTTAAGTGACTTGCCCAGGGTCAGACAGCTAGTAAGTGTCTGAGGCCACATTTGAACTCAGGTCCTCCTGACTCCAGGGCTGGTGCTCTATTCACTGAGCCACCTAGCTGCCCTAACCCCGTTGTTTTTTGGTGGCATTGTTTTTGGTTTTCTCACAAATGAAAAAACAGACTCAGAAAGATAAAATGATTTGCCCACAGTAACATATTTCAGCGAGTGGCTGATGTGATTCAAACCCAGCTCAGCTGATGCCTCTGCCAGGGCTCTCTGTACTCTAGCCCATGCTGCTCCATCTTCTAGTATAACTCCCGGGCTTCCTACAGTACTCTCTCCTTTCCACTCCATTTTCTGCACTTACCAAATTCTAATTTTCATTTTTATTTTTTGCACACTTGCTATCACTAAAAGGTCCTGGATACAGGGACTAAGCCGTATGTATCTTTAGATCTGTTTTAATGTCTAGTACAGAGTTGGAATCTAACAAATGTTTGTTGCTGTTGGCAGATCCAAATAAAAAATGGCAGTCAAAGCTCTAACACACACCTGAGAACTGGAGCTAAACTGCACACCAAGAGAGGCAATAAAATATAAACACTCATGTTTAAGGCTTACAATATGTTTTCTCATAACAACCTCAAAACAAATCTATGAAGAAAATATCCCTGGAAAGCCAGGAACAATATTGCAAAATCTCTTTCTCTCTTAAAATGCCACCAGATTTCACCTAGCCTCTGGAGGAATTTGTTTTTTAGCACTAAGTTTTATTGATGATTTTGTTTTTTCTATCACAATTAACTTCAAATATACCTACTCCATTCTCATACTCTGAATCAAAGGGTCACTTTTCTAACTTGATCCCCACTCTTTTCTAGGATATTTGGACCAATTCAGAACTCTACCAACTGCATTAGCGTTCCTGTCTTCTTACAAAGGAATATAAAGCCCTTTCCCATTACCCACCCACTTAAGACTCTTGTTGCTTATTGTGAAAGATCAGCTCTACAAAAGTGGGCATGAAGAACCTCAGTTGAACCATCTGATTCTGCCCAGGCCCAGGTTAGGAAATTCTATTCTTTACTTGTATACACCTCTGGATCCAGGATAGTGCTCACTGAAGTAAGAAGCCAGGAGGATTGGTCAAAATCCAGGCTCTTAAGTCTTTAAGACTGTTGTGATGGAATGTACCACAGTAATTTATAGAGTATAAAGAGTTATCATATATATGCTGTCATCTGATTGCCACAACATCCCTGTGAGGTAGGTAGAGTAAATATTATCACTCCCTTCTTAAAGATGAAGAAACTTTTTTTTTTAAAGAAGAAAAAGATTTGCTCAAAATCACAAAGCTAGCTAATAAAACTAGGACTCGAATCAGGGTTTTCTGACTCCAAGTCTGGCATCCTGAAACTATATCAAGCTGTCTCAATACAAAGACAAGACCCAGATACAACCCTTACCTAGGAAAAGGGAGGGAGGAGGTGTGTGGTAGTATCATGGTTGGGATTTTTTTCACTTCAATCAATCTTTATTAAGTACCTACTATGTGTAACATACCATGTCTCCAGATACTGAGATGAAAGAAAATACACTGACGTGAGGCAGAGAGGTCAGAAGATCTGGGCTTGAATCTTACTTAGTTCTGCCTTGTGTAAGCTTACACCACAGGTGAGGACATGTCATTTCCTTATCATCACAATATAGGGGAAGGGCTCTAACTTCCCTTAGCTACTCTGCTTATTCACCTCTCAAATAGTTAAGGGCTTACCCTTTGGACCCTGTCCAGAGCGGCTCCCTAGGCATGGTTCTGTCTCCTGGCCTCAAGGTATCAGCTCCATTCCTTTCCCCATATTCTCCTATAGATAATTCAAGCTGAGGTGGCTCCCCACCCCCAGGGAAGGGTCCAAAGCATTTTATACAAATTATCTCACTAAGGCTTCATAACTGCTACTTGATATCAGTGCTATTATTACTATTATTATCCCCTTTTTACTGATGAGACAATTTTAGAGGCAAGTTCCTCATTTTTTAGATGAGGAGCAGAGATTTGAGACTAAGTGACTTGCTCAGGGCTAGAAAGTTAGAAGCAGTATTTGAAGTCAAGTCTCTCCTGACTACAAATCCAGTAATCCTTCTACTACACCTGGCTGCCTCTCCAACTGGTTTGGATTCCCCACTTTGCCATGATTTCAATACTTTAAAAGGTTCGAGAACACAGCTAATTTTCATATACCATAAGGACCCAAGTTATTCTAGCAAAATGACAATTCTGCAAATTAAAAGGTAAATAACTATACTTACACAATCATGCAAAACATCATGAAAACATTCCACAAGGCAATGAAGATTCGAAAGTATCTGAGACTCAATAAGAATTCCCTGATGTTGTCACCTGAAAAGTCAAGATACACCATATAAACGTTGTTTGCATTTAGCATAACATCCCACAGTTATGGTGGAAAGAGCCTTGGGCCTGGACTCAGAGGATCTTGGACCCCATCCCAGCGCTGACATTCATACCTGTAAAACAAGGTGCGGTAGGGCCAGATGGCCTCTCAAGTCCTTTCTAGCTCGAAGCATGTGAAGCTCCCCTAGAATATTTGTCTGGTGATAATTTACACTGAAAAATATCACTTATAGGTTTGAAAAATACCGTATTTACATTATCTCATTTGAATTTCAAGCCAACATGGTGATGTAAGTCCCTTATGTACTGTCAATGTTTTCAGATGCGGAAAGTAACCAATACTCAGTGAGACTGCATGTCTCCCCATGAATCCCATCCCATAGACAACGTGTGCAAAGGTAGGATCTGAACCAAATCCATTCTTATTCCCACTACACCCAAATCATACTCCCTTGACTATTAAAGAAATCCAATTTGTAGTTTTCAGCTTAGTCACTGTGGTGTGGATCGTGAGGGGAAAGCCTAAAAGGTAAGCCAAGTTCTTCCCTCCAAAGTTGGCATGGTGACCACACGAGAGTTCTCAATGAAAAGAACCCTGGACTCGAGTCAGAAAACCTGGGTTTTAATCATAACCCACTATTCTGAGACCCTCAGCAAGATATTTCCCCATGTGGGGCCAATCTCCTCACCTAGAAGATGAGCTGTTGGGGGTAGATGGATTCCAACTTCCCTTCCAGTTCCAAGACTGGATAAGGCTATACTTCTAAACTAGTTAAGATACAGCCTCTCTGGTAGCAGATTCCTGAAGAAAACAACCTTTGAGCCCAGACCTTGAGAATGAGAAACCTTAACAAGGATACCAAACAAAGGCACCGAAAGGAGTTTTTGAAAATAAAACAGTATGTTTGGAAAGGCAGGCCAAGTGCTCGGGTATCTTTTGTTCAAGACACAGACATCACTCCCAGCCAGTGAACCTGCCCAGGTAACTCTCAGCTCAAGGGTTCCCACTGTTTCTTATCATATATGCCCACAATGATTCTGGTTACTGACAAATGAAGCCCAGCCATGGCACTCAGGACACAGAGATGTGTTGCCAATATCCCAAGTGAATCTCCCTATACTCAGCACAAGTTTTAGTGATACTGCCTCCTCCTAACTATACCCATCTTCCCTAGCCTCCTGCTACCCGTACTGACCCATGGGAAATCCAAAGTCAGAACACTCATCTAAATGCTGCCAATGGAGGGCCCCTGTAGTGAAAAAGAAAAGGCAAAGGGGTGCATGACACACCACCCGTGCTGCACAGGAGCCCAGCCTCAACATCCCCCAAGGGCTGTCACCCCGTGTGAAATCAAAGAGTCTACTTTGAGAGAAAGAGTCTATGGGCCGGTGATGTGAGTGTTAGAGTTCATATATTTGGAGCTGGAAGGAACCTACTATCAAGGCCATCAAGGTCAACCCTCTCATTTTACAGATGAACAAACTGAGGCCCAGGAAAAGGAATCAACTTCTTCAAGGTCTGTTCAGCAATAACCATCTTCCCTGTGTCAGGCCCTGGGCTCAGAGCGAGGGGCACAAAAAAAGGCAAACACAGTCTCTGACCTCGAGGAACACACATTCTACCTGAAAGTGATGTGGGAAGAGAAGGCAAGACCACCTAAGGGTACAGGAAAGGGGCCTGCAGGTGGGATTGGAGCTGAGAAGGAAGCCCTGGTGGGCCAGAGAAAAGCTGGATTTTGGAGTAGGTGTGAGCTCCAGGGGCTCCCTATGACCTCCAGATCAAACATAGAACCCTCTGTTTGGCACTGAAGCCCTTTACGACCTCGCCCTTCTCAGACTTCCCAGCTTTTACTCCTCGGCTATACTGGCTGAGTTTCTGGCTCATCATCTTCCTTCAGAACAAAGAGTGTAGCTGCTTCCCCAGGCTCTGTCTCTAACTGCATCCTGGACACATCTGCCTGGACAGAGGAGTGGCACTACATGTCTAAACTACAACATGCCTAAAACTGAACTCATCACCTTTCTCCCCACAAGTCAGCAATTTCTCTGTTTACTATATAGTACCATCCAACCAGGTAGCCACTCCGGGGACCTCAGGTGCAGGCCAGACTCTTCCCTGCCACTTAGACCCACTACCCCTACCATACCTGACCCCAATACAAACAGCTGCCCAGTCATAATGATTCTACCTTGGGAATACCTTTTGCATTTACCTCTTCTTTTCCCTTACACTGCCATCCCCCTTAGGCGCTCCTTACCTCTTGCGTGGACCACTATCATAGCTTCTCACTTATCTTCTTGCCTCCAGTTTCTGTCCTGTCTAATCTAGTCTTCACACTGTTGCCTAAGTAATCTTTCTTAATATGGAAGCTCTGAACATGTCACTTCCCTGTTCCAAAGCCTTCTACCGCTCCCCACCTCCTATGGCACAAATTACAAACCACTTAGCCTGACATTTAAGGTCTTCCACAATACAGTTCCAACCTATTTTTGCTGCCTTATTTTACTTTGCTCCTTTCATTTACTTTAAGTTCCAGACAAACCCAAATGCAACCTTCCTCCTCTGATTTCCATTCATTTGTGGTGACCATTCCCCTATACGTGAGATTCACTTTTCCCACATTTCCTCCCAACAAAATGCTTTTTTTTCTTTGAGCCTCAGCTCAAGCACCACCTCTCTCTGAAGTTTTCCCTCATTCTCCCCAAGTGAAAGCAAGCTCTCTTTCACAGTCTACTTGTACGTCTCATCCTCTACTATCAGAGTAGTGTTAAGTCCTTCAGAATACAGTCTGTGTTGTTTTGGATCTTCATATCCTTAGTATCAAACACAGTGCTTGTCATATGGATAGCTGCTTAATGTTTGCTGAATTTGAATTTTGCTTACTCTCCTAACACAAATTAATGAATATTTAATTGAGGGCCCCATATGTGTAAGACCCTGAGGATATACAGTCATGAGTTTAGTTTAACCAGTTAGTAGTAGAGGTGTCTGACAGAGAAGAGGTGGCTGCCTCATGAGATAAATGAACTGTCAGTGAAGGTGTCACAGGAGCTCTGGAGGGAATTCCCACACTGATTGGGAGGCTGGATCAGAAAATCACAACATTAACATTCTGTGACTCATCTTGAGCAAACAGGTGTCAATAAACTTGCAAGGGGCTATTACAGAATCAGAAAAACTTCGGAACTGGAAAGGGACCACGGAGATCATCAAAGCACAACCCACTCATTCTATTAATGAGGAAACTGAGGCCCAGAAAGGGGAAGTAGTTTGTTGAAACAGTGAGGCACATTCATCACAATTCTGTTGATAAGAAGAATGGGACAAGTGTGTCCACATTTGTTTGCATTATTCAACATTATAGGCTGCTGGAGCCACCCAGGACTCACCTGTACTTGGTTCCTTTGACTCCTCCCCAAACCCCTGGGTGTCTTTTTTTTTCCTATAAGGTGGGGAACAACAGTATGACATTTCAGTACAATATAAAGAGAGCTAAAACTGATGCATGCAGGTAAAACCAAAGAATAAAGAAATTGTATACTGCGACAAAACTCCACGTCTGACATGGCCTCTGTGAGTAATATATATTCCAAGAGTGACCACAGTTCTGTACAGGGACAAAAGGCTCTCTACAGGTAAAATGGATGCCTAGTAGGGAGCTAAGAATTCCATGAAGGCAACTGGGGTGAGGTCTCCAAACCTGATGGGGAGTCCTGTGTGGTTAATAGATGAGAGAGCTTTATGCAGATGTTGAGTTTGTCCATAGGTGAGGAAGCTCTATATGATGGAGAGCTGGAAAGGTATTCAGAGACTATCTTGTCCAACCCCTTCGTTTCACATGTGAGGAACCGAAGGGTGAGGGAGGTTATGTGACTTGTCCAAGGTCATAGAGGTAAGCATTAAAAGTGGAATCTGAACTCAGACATTCTGACTCCAGAGTTAGTGCTCTTTCCACTACACCATGATCCCCTGCATGCTCGAATTCTAAGTGACTGGTGCTTATAAGGAGTGGTGAGTAATTTAAACAGGATGACAAGAAACTACAGGAGAGGATTATCTATGGGATAGGAGGCTCTGAACAAAGCAGGGGGTTATATGTGGGTGACAGGGATGTCTAGGCGTAAGGGTGCTCTACACCTGAATGATAGCTCTTGGGGGGGGGGGACAGGGATGTCTATAAGTAAGGTGGCTCCACAGAAGACACAGGGTTCTATAGGGTGACATAAGTAAAGGTTCTATGTGGGTAACTGGGGGGGGTCTATAAGTAAAGGGGCTCTACAGATGGCACGGGGTTCTAAGTATGTGCACAGTTTCTAGAGACGAGCAACATCCGCGGGTGGGGGGGTCCTAGGTGAGTAAAGGGGTGTCTGTGGTTAAGAGGCTCTAAATGGGCCAAAGGTTCTTTGCTAGTGACAAGAACGTAGAGGGGGGAGTCTCGGTACGTGGCTGGGTGACTATGAATGAGAAGACTATATGGGACAAGGGCTTCAAAGCCGAGAGAGTATCTAGAGGGGAGGGGCTCTGTAGGACGTGGCCGGGGTCTCTCTGGCAGGTGGCTGGCCCTGCCTGGGACTCTTTCTCTCCAGGAGGCAGGCTGGGTGTTTCCAGGCTGAGGAGGGGCAGAGGGGAAGCGGGCGTCGGGAGACGGGGCAGAGCTGGGAGCGGGTTTTGGCGGGGCGCAGAGCAGAGCTGGGGGCGGGTCTGGGGCGGAGTACGGGACGAGGCGGGGGAAGGGGGGGGTCGCCCCGTCACTCACAGCTTGAAGTTGAGTACGGCTCCCGCGTTCATCAACAGTGTCCTGAAAGAGGTCAAAGCGCGGTCAGGGAGGGCGTGGCCCCCAAACACCCTCCCCCCGGCCGTCTTAAGGTCACCCTCCGCCCCACCCCGCCAAGCCCAGGGGCCCCTTACCCGAACAGCAAAATGTCCCCGATCATGGTGACTGCCGAGCAGCCACCGGAACCAGAACCGGAACCGGAACAGGAACAACCCTCGCCGAGACCAACCAATCAAAACCGGCGACTACTGCCGGGCCGGCCCCCTTCCTTGTACAGCGGCCAGGTCGTCCAGCTCATGAGAGGGCCGGCCAGGCATGAACCCTCCGCACGCACAAGCTCCAAGCTCCACCTCCTGTCCGTCGGGGGCGGGGCTCTGCGACGTCACGGCCCCGGCGGCGGGAGGGGGCGGGGCATGGATAAAGGGTGGAGATCGAGCGTGAGTGTGAGTGTGAGTGTGTGTGTGTCTGTGTGTGTCTGTGTGTCTGTCTGTGTCTGTGTGTGTCTGTGTCTGTCTGTGTGTCTCTGTGTCTGGCCTGTGTTGACTTGATACAGGGATGATGTGTGACACCCAGCCTATGGCCCAGCCGCGGGAGTTGTGTGACTGACAGGAGACTCCAGGTGACCGACACTATAAGTTTGTCAAGAGACTCTCATGAATGACAAGGAATTCAGTGGGGGAGGGGGGAGGGGGGAGGAGAACTTCTGGATGACAGTCAGCAAGCATTTATTAACCACCATGGATATATGGGGGCCCTGTGGTAGGCAAGTATAGGTCTATGCCAGCGGCGGGGAACCTGCGACCTCGAGGTCACGTGTGGCCTTCTAGGTCCCTGGGTGCTGCCTTTTGACTGAGTCCAAATTTTACAGAACAAATCCTTTTATTAAGGGGATTTGTTCTGCGAAGTTTGAATTCAGTCGAAGGGCCACACTTGAGGACCTAGAGGGCCACATGTGGCCTTGAGGTTGCAGGTTTCTCACCCCTGGACTCTATACAAAATAAATATAAGGTGATTTGGGTAGGTAGAGGGCACTAATAGTTGGGAGAATAAGAAAAGCCTCATCTAGACAGCTGAGTTTTGAAGGAGACAAAGAATTCTACTATGAGGAGGTGGGGGCGGGGAGAGACTACTAGGCATGGGGAACAGCCAGTGCAAAGACAGGGAGATGGGAAATGGAGTGCCATGTATGAGTGAGGAAGGCTAGTTTGACTACACAATGGGGTACATGAAAGCAAGTAACACGTAGTAGCTGGGGCCAGGTTGTCAAGGACTTCAGTCAATCAAGTACTGAGTGCTTATTATGTGCTAGGGATTTTAAATGCCAAATAACATTTTTTATTTAATAGGGAGCCACTGAAGCTTTTTGAGGAGAATGATCAGACCAGGGCTTTCAGAAAATCACTTTGGCAGCTGAGTGGAGGATGGTTTGGAGTAGGGAGAGACTTGAGACAGAAAGTCCAATTGGGAGATTATTGCAGTAGTTCAGGTGAGAGGCAATGAGGGCCTGAACTTGGGTAATGACCATGTGGGTTGAGGGAAGCAAATGGATGCCAGAGATGTTGTGGTGATAGAAACAACAAGATTTGCAATTGATGAATGAGGTGAGGTGAGTAAGAGTGAGAGGTCAAAGATGACATTAAGGTTGTAAACCTAGATGACTGGAAGGATGGTGGGGCTCTTGAAAGTAATAAGGAAATTAGAAGAATGGGCTTGGGAGAAAAGAGAGTAAGTTCTATTTTGGACATGTTGAGTTTGAGATGACCTACAGGCGCAGATATGGAGCTCAGGAGAAAGATTAAATCTGGATATATTCTCAAATCATCTACATACAAACAATAATTAAAGGTTTGGGAGCAGATAAGATCACCAAGTGGGAGAATGTAGAGAAAAAAGGGAAGAAGACCCAGTACAGAGCCTTGGAATATGTCCACAGTTAGGGAGTCCGATATGAATGATTATCTGACAAAAGAGAAAGGGAAGGAGAAATCAAATAAGTAGGAGGAAACTAAAGCAGTATCATAAAATTCCAGAGAATCTAGGAGCAGAGAAAAAGTCCTCATATTTGGAAATGAAAAGAGGTCGTTAGCAAGTAGAGAGAGCACTGCCTGTTGAGAGATTAAGATAGAAGTCATATTACAAAGGACTGAGAAATGAGTAAGAGGAAAGGGAGGGGAAACAAAGATATAAACAGCTTTTTCTGAGAGTTTGTCAAAAAAGGAAGAAGAGTTATAGAACAATATAGCTAGAAAGTATAGCAACATTTAGTAAAAAAAAAATTTAAGTACTGTATAGAACAGACATGAGTATCTTGTAGGCATCACAGAAGAAACCAGTAATTAGAGAGAGATTGAAGATCAGAGAGAGACAGAAAAAGGGAGGGCATGATTGTGGGGGCAATCTGCTGACAAACGCAGGAGGAAATGGGATCAAAGGCATATGGAGAAGGGTTGACCTTGGCAAGAAGAAGGACCACCTACTGAAGAGGGAGAGAATGAGCAATGATGTCAAGGGATTATAAGAGAGAGCTCATAATGAGTAATTTCTGTAGTTTCTGTTTTCTCAGTAAGGCATGAGGAGGGGTCCTCCATTGAGAGGCTGTGGAGAGGATGAGGGACTTTATGACCAACAGAGGAATATATGAGTGATGATATGTGAGGGATTCTGAAAAGAACTGGGAATTTATGGTCAACAAGAGCTATACAAGTCACAGGGACAATATTTGCCCTTCTCCAGTCCAGCACCTCTTTGTGTCTCCATTTGATATTTCAAATATCTGATAGCGGTTCAACAACCACAGTTAAGTTGCTTTCAGGACCCTGGCATGTGGCTCATATGAATCTCTTGAAATCATCAAGAGCCACTACATTCTCTTCTACTTAGCATATCCCTTCTTATCCAGGTTATCAACTCTACCAGGCACTTTTGTTCTGTCTTGTCAATCCAAATATCATTCTCCATGGCGAAGAAAGTAAAAGTCAAAAGTTGAATAGTTCTGCCCTCTCTCTGTCCTGTCAGCCCATCTGTCCAAAGCTTCAGTCCAATTCCTTCTTTGTTATTCCTCTATTGCCAATATAGAGAATATAATAGAGCCTGTGGTTTCATTGGGATGGGGAATTCCCACCTGAGGAAAGTCCCTCTCTCAGTTCAGATCAGCACCTTCTCAGCATCCGATAGTCTTAGAACTTGGAGAGCTATCTGGAGCACTGAGAGGTTAAGTGACTTGTCCAGAGTCACATAGTCAATTTGTGTTAGAAGCTTGACTTGAACCCAATTTTTCTTAGTTTTGAAGTCAGCTTTCTGTCCACTATATCATCCTGCTGCCTCATTCTCAATATAGCTTTAAAAATAAATACAACCTCACCTCAACTTACTTTGGACTTTATCGCTCCCAACACTATTCATACAGGACCACACCACCTTGCGAGAGGTGGTTATGTGATAGTGCCTTGAATTTTGGACTGGGAATCAAGACAGATTTAAATCCCTCTCAGACATTGACATTTGCAGTGTGACCTTTGAATAGTCACAGCTTCTATGAGCCTGAGTTTCTGCATCTATAAAATGGGGATGGTGGTAATGAAGATAAAATAAGGTATTTTAAGCTGTATGTATACGTATGCAAACCTTATAACACTACATAAATGTCACCTATTAAGCCATAGTGGATAGAAAACTGGTTTCAAGGCTAGGAAGAAAGACTGGATCCAAGTCCTGCCTCTGAAACATCCTGACCTGTGTGACCCTAAGCAAGCCACTTACTTGCTCAGTGTTCTAAGCAGCTCTCTAATACCATAAATTGCAGAGGAAGTGCTGCATCTTGGCATTGGCTCATCTGGGAGTTCTCCATGCCAATGAAATCAAAAGTTCTGTTCGTACCCCCTACTTGCCCTTTCTTCTAAAACTCTACCCTAGTTACCACTCCCTATGCCGAGGTGTGCTGGAGGCAGCTGAAACTGGCTGGAGCTAATTTTTAAATTTTCTGAAGCATTTAAATCTAGGAGATCAGCAAATGCTGCAAATCAGGGCTTGATTTATTGTTTTTACAATTGTTTAGATTTAACAAAGTGATGGAGAAAAATGTTAATAATGGAGATGAAACTTAAAAATGTGTCTTAGTATATTTTTTTCAGAGAGCCGGTTGTTAAATATTTAGCAGCACAAGGCTGCCTATATGTATAGTCTCCCCAATTTGAATGTAATGTCTGTGAGAGCAGAGGCATTGTCATGTTTGAATTTGTGTCCCCAACAGTTAACACAGTACTTAGTCCATAGTAAGGCTTAATAAATGCTTGCATTTATTCTCATTCACATTATAGTTGACAGGGATTCTACGGGGTTAGGGTTAGAATTATAGAGATAAGAGGTACCTCAGTGGCCACTGAATCCAACCAGAAAAAAAAAAAAACCTCCTTTACCATAACAAGTTGTCATCCAGCCTCTGTGTGAAGATCCCCATTTGGGTGGGGTGGGGTACAGACTGCTACTTTTGGAGAAAAGCCATTACATATTGGAATAACCAATTGTTTGAAGTTTTTTCTTTAGTTAAGCCTAAATTTGCCTCTTTGTGACTTCCACCCACTCTTAATAGTTCTTTACCCTGGAGCCAAGCAAAACAACTATAATCCCCCTTCCACAATAAAGGTCCTCCAAATTCTTGAAGATAGCTGTTACACCCTTGCTAAGGCTTCTCTTCTCCAAGCTAAACATTCAATGGAGCCTCATGTGGCTTAAACTCTGTGCCCTTCAATACTTTGTTTTCTCCTGAAAAACTCCAATACTACAGGTGTGGTCTGGAGGGGTTGGTGCCTGCTGTCTGGCAGCAGGTCTCTCTTATCTTGTACTTGGGAAGTTGATTTTTTGAACCCAAGGGTGACTTTACATTTATCCCAGTGAAATGTCATCCCATTTATTCAACGCAATGTTGTAGCCTGGTCAAGTTGGGATCTTTTTGGTTCTTACCTTAGTCAAATAGTATTAGGATCCTTCTCAGCTTTGTGGCTTCTGTGCATTTGTAAGCATGCCACTTATGTCTTTAAGTCTAAGCAGCACAGAGACAAGTCTTTTCCTTACCTTCTTGATCTGAGAGAAGTAGGGAGCACACAGGGCTTCAGGGTGATTGATACAGAACTGGAAGAGACCTTAGAAAATCATCTAGTCCAGTACTCTCATTTTACAGATGAGTAAACTGAGGTCCAGGGAAGTTAGATGACTATCTTTGAGTCACGTGGGATAACTGTCATCAAGTATCTGAATGCTTGTCTTGGAGGGAGAAGAATTAGACTTGTTTTTGTTTTGTTTTGTTTTTGACAATGGTCAAAACTTGGAGGATTGTGTAGAAGTTGCTGAAAGGAAACCCTGGGCTAGGTATAAAGAAAAACTTCCAACCATGGGACCTTTCCCAAAGGGGAATGAGCCTCGTCCGCTGGTAGCAAGTCCTTGCTCCCATACCCTTCCTATTGGAGGACTTCAAGCAGAAGCCACTTTGTGGGAGGATCAGGGAGGGATCCTTGGGAAGGTCGGAATTGGACCTGGTAGTCCCTGAGGGCCCTCCCTCCTAGCAGGGGTGGGATGGGGATTTCGGTATTCTTTGACCTGAGAAATCCTGCAAGCCTGGCAGCTGATTGACTGCAGGGGCGGGCAGTGGGTAAGGGGAGGAATACAGCCGCAGGGAGGCTGGCTGGGGTGCTCCCCACGTGTGAGCTGGAGGAGAAACTGGGGACATCGGACTGAGCTCCGCTGCTAGCAGCACCACTGCCAGGGCAGCTTCCTGCGGGACCTGGAGTGGGGCTGTTGCCCAGCCCAGAGGGAGGAGCTGGGGGCTCAGAGGCGCTTCTGCACCTGTCGGCGGTCAGGGAAGGAGGAGGAGGAGGAGATCGGGGGGGGCATCGCTAGGTTCGGGCACAGCCCGCCTCTGCCCCATTCGGCGGGCAGCCTGGGCGCGGGGGCTCTCAGGGGCCACTGCCGGGCGATATGGAGCTGCTGTCGGCCCTGAGCCTGGGCGAGCTGGCTCTCAGCTTCTCCCGGGTGCCCCTCTTCCCGGTCTTTGATCTCAGCTACTTCATCGTTTCCATCCTGTATCTCAAGTACGAGCCAGGTCAGTCAGTCAGTCCCAGCCGGGCAGGGTTGGGGGCTGGGAGCGCCTGGGCCTGGGGGGTGGGTGTGGGGGGGGACCTTGCGGGGCTGGGGCTTGCTCTCACCAGCCTTCAGTCTTCGGACCTCTCCGCTGCCCCCTCCCCATCTCCCTAGCTGCCCTTTACCCCCCACTCCACCCCTCTGGTGCCCTTGGCGAGATGAAACCGCAGCTGTTATGTCTATATAAGGCTGCCGAAAGAGAAATGGGCTGCCGGAAAATTGACACCGCACCCCTCCCCCCACCCCCCCGGGGCTAGGTTTCCGGGAGACCCTCTGCTGTGACCCGCTGAGTCAGGGCCCCCCGAAATCGTCCCTGCTCGGTCTCGCTTGTCCCTCGCTTAGGGAAAGGGTCCCTTCTTCCCTGCGGGTGACCCAGGTATCTGCCTTCGTGGGAAGCATGTTTTCTCTAAAGAATACTTGACCAGGAACCATCAGACCTGAGTTCTAGCTATGGCTCTGAAACTAGCTACGTGGCCTTGGGGAAATCACTCAAAACCTATTTGAGCTTCTTCTGTAAAATGGGGCCACGATTATGCCTAACCTATTTCTTGCGGATCTGGGAGGATCAGATGAGATAATGAAATTTAGGATTTTTGAGTTGAATGGCACCTCTGATCATCTAGGCCAGTCCTCAGTTTACAGAGGAGGAAACCGAGGCCCGGAGAGGGGAATAGACTTGTCCAGAGTCACACTGATAGTAAGAAACAGAGCTGGGATTTGAACCTAGGCTTTTTGCCTCCACGTTCAATGTTCTTCGTAACAGGGATCGAACCAGAATTCCGCCTCCCCCATCGACCAAAGCACGGGGCACTATTCAGTTCACCGTGAAATCTGGTGTCTGGTGGCTTGTAAGGTGTTATTTTTATCGGTGTTGATTATTCTTTCAGCATCACCACTTCTGTCCAGAACTGGACTTTTCATTTACAGACAAGGAAATGGAACTCCAGTGGAGACACTAAGGCTATATTGCTGGGCAAGGGATCACCTGGATTTCATCCTTATACTTTCCACCCTGTTTTCATGCACTGTGAGCCGGAAAGCTGCTTTGAAACCTGGAAGAGTTTCGGGGGGAGGGAGGGGAGGGGAAAGGAGCTGATGCTTTAAAAGCTGTTACCAGGGAACATTTATTTTGCAAAGCAAAGTAGGAATAGCGTTGTACTAGGATTGGAGTATTTGTTTCCTGTTTCAAAATGTTGGTAGCTTGGTTGGCTGCCTACAATTTTGCTGTAGCCCTACCTCACCCTTCTCTGAGAAAAAAGGAAGCCTTCTTTAGGAATCGTTGTTTTAGACTAGGTGATCTCTGAAGCACTTCTCATTTTGATAGCTTAAATTACATGTCTCAAGGTTTCTTTGAGTTCTGAGTTCCCTCCCAGTTTCTGTATTACATGTTCCATCCAGCACTGGCTTTCAATGATCCTAAAGTCTCACTTCCATTTTTGACATTCTATGTTCTAAAGCACCTTCCAGCTCTGACAATTTGTGAATTTCTATTTTTTTTAAAGTTCTATTTAAAAAATAAGGGATTTGGCTGTTGGAGTAAAGCACCATCAGAGGTAATTGACAGATCTTCTGGAAGGACTTTGACTTTCAGTAGAAGCTTTGGAAAGAATGCTTCGCCTTAGGGGAATGAGGGAACCATGAGTCTGGCCTGCCTTGCATTTGGACATGGACCAATTTTTATTGAGTTTTTTCCTCCTTTTGGGGACAGATGATCTCAAGTCTACATAATTCAAGGTACAACCTGAGAGCTTTGAAAACCCTTCAGAGGGAACCACCAGGGGTAGAGAGAAACTCGCCAGTTAGTATCCAATTCTGCACGCTCTCGGAGCTATTTTAGATGTATGCTATCATAAGCAGCATGAGAGAGCTTAGTTGGTTAGTGTTAGGAGAACCCCAGGCTGGAATCCTTTCTCTGACCTTTATTAGCTGTGCCTCAGTATCCTCCTCTATAAGATGGAGATAGTAATACCTTCTGAGTTGGTTGTTATGGAGATCAAATTAGATCATTCCTGGCATTAATTTTGTGCAACCCTTAATGTGCTATAATGTCTGTTTTTGATTGTCAGTATCAGTACCTGGAAATGGCAAAGCGCCTTGTAGCATTTTGTAGAATTGCCCAGAATTCTTTGGTTGCTTACATTTTATGGAATTCTAATTACTTGATAATTCTGATTTGGAGTCAAGAAAACCTGAGTTTGAGTCTTGGTTTTCTCACTTACTATGTGATCCTTTAGCAAGTCACTAGGCCACTCCAAGCCTCAGTTTCCTCATCTGTATAATGAGCCTGTTAATACTTGTTCTCCCTCTATAGGGGTAAAAACATTTTGGAACCATAAATTATTATAGAGATGAGAGTGAGTGAATTTCTAGGTCCATAATAGCTTCAGCCTGAGCTGGAGACTGAGCCTGAGCTCCAAACCTTCCCAAAATGCAGGAGGGTTAAAAAAAAAAAAACAAAACAAGAAAGTAAATAAATCACAAATGAAGTAGAATTCTTAATATCTGTATTCAAGAGATTCTGATAAACTCTGAAGCCATAGACTAAAGCTGTAATGAAACTAGATAGCCCCTAAATTAATTTTTTTTCAATTCATTATTTAAATGCATACTTTGTTCAAGTACATGATAAGCATTTTGTGTTCTATATTCTGAGGGCCCTCCCAGCTCCGACGGTCAGTATTCTAGGTTTAATATTCTGAGTTTCAAGGTGTGACATCTCTAATGTTCTATAAGTCTAACTTGTCCCTTGATGCCTCTATCAGAAATAGCCTGCTGGGCTTAACCCAAGATGGTAAATCTCAGGTTTTAAGAACTGCCTATTGTAACTGAGAATGTGGTTTTCTGTGAATGTTTGTGAGTCTTAGAGACAGTCAAGACATACCAGGAGTAGGACAGGAAGCCTAAGAGTTTCCAGAGGAATGTCTGGGGAAATCACTATCTACTCAATGAACATAGAGCTTCAGTGTGTTTATATGCCCTTGCATTACTTCATATTATTATTAATAATAATCATAGCCTGCATTTATATAGCCCTTCTTATAAGTGTTATCTCACTTGAGCTTCACAATAACCCTGGAAGATAGGGTTTATTATTATCTTCATTTTACAGATGAGAAAACTGAGGCAGACAGAGGTAAATGACTTCTCCAAGGTCATACAACTAGTTAAGTATCTGAGGCCATATTTGAACTCGGGTCTAACTGAAGTTTAGGGTTCTGGCCACTTAAGGTTTACGGAAGGGCTGTCTCCTCATAGCAATCCTGTGAGGTATGTATCGTATGTATTATTATGCCTATTTTACAAATGAGGAAACTCAGGCTCAAAAAAGGTGAAGTGACTTAACCTATGTTCATACAACAGTAAATTTCAGAACCTGAGGGTGGAAACCAGGCAGGTTTTTTTCTACTAGTTCAAGGGATGTGTGTATGGGGGTGTGTGTGTGTGTGTGTGTGTGTGTGTGTGTGTGTGTGTGTGTGTTTTCACCTTTTTGGTGTCCTTGATCACTTTGGCAGGCTGATGACAGTTGTGGAGCCCTTCTTGGAATGATGCTTTTAAAGGCCTAAAAAAGAATACATGGGATTATGGGGGAAACTAATTATTTTAAAAGAAGATTGTCAAAATATTTTTTAAAAAAGTTTGTGGACCCCAGGTTCAGAGCCCCTGGGCTACATCTTGCTAATCTTTGCTTAGGGCTTCATCAGGGTCATAGTTATGCCAGTTTACTAGGGTACTTCTGGAGCCCTAGACATTATAGGTAGAGGACGGTTACCGAGGCACTGAAATTGGCTTTATATTGGGAGTATTTAATCTGTGAAGGGCCAGGGATTGCTCAGCTTAAAGAGTGCCTGCCTGCCTGCCTACCCCTGTGGTCAGGACAAGTAGTGTGAAGAACCCCCTGGCCTGGAATTCCTGGGGCTCCGGGCTCAGCTCTGCTCCTTATTGCCCTTGTCACTGACTATTCAAGTCCTATTGCTTCTCTAAACCTCGGTTTCCTCATCTGTAAAATCAGGGGTTTTGGTCTAGATATCCTCTGGGACTCCCTTCCAGCCCTACATCTGAATCTGAGCTGTAAATTCTCTAAGCTCAAGAAATGAATGGACATAGGGAATTTGGAGTGTGGGAAGAACCTCCACTAGTGCAGATGATATCCTATCTCTAACTATGCAGATAAATCTGTTGCTGGGGCACATGGAAGCTAAATGACTTTCCAGAGTTGCAGAAAATGTCTGCACCAAATTTAGACCCATGACTTCTAAACTGCAAGCCCAGAGCTCCATGATGCCGTGATATCCCTAAGCCTATGGAAATGGGGGTAAGAATTCCAACTTTACCTACTCTGATTATCAAATGAGATGACGAGGACAATGGCAATAAAATGTGCTGTAACCACCCAACTCCCAAGCCATTCTAGCTGCCCCAGAGTGGAAGGGCCTGCCACGGAAGGGAGTGGGCTGCTTTTCCCTAGAGGTCTTGAAGCCAATGCTGTGTGATCCCTTGTCTGGGATGTTGCTGAGAGGGATTCCTAGGCAGGTCCAGAATAGACCAGTGATTTCTGAGGCCCCCATTCATGCTGCTCTGAGACTGGCATTCTGGGAAGCACTATAGCAATGTAAGTTATGGTAGCTCACATTTATATTTATATTTATATTTATATTTATATTTATATTTATATTTATAGCTCTGTGGTTCATAAGGCACTTTGCGCACAGTACCCCTTTCTCTTCTTGGACCCTGCCAGCACCCTGGGGCAAGCCCTCCTCACCTCATGCCAGGATTATTGCAATACTGCTGGTTGGTCTATCTGCCTGAAGTCTCTCCCCACTCCAGTCCATCCTCCATTCAACCACTAAAGTGATTTTCCTAAAGTACAGACTTAACCATATCACCCTACCCTTACTCAGTAAACTTTAGTCGCTCCCTAGTGCCTTGGATCCAATAGAAAATCTTCTGCTTGGCATTCAA